TTGAAAGAGTTCTATGAGGAAAATTTATAGTGATAAGTCCTCACATCAGAAAAACAAAACAAACTTAAATAAATAACCTAAGTTTAAAACTCAAACTTCTAAACAAAGAAGAGCAAATCCAAACAAAAGCTCATATGAGGGAGAAAGATCAGAGCAGAAACTGATACAATTGAGACTAAGAAGACAATAAAATATATCAATGAATCAAAGAGATGATTCTTCAAAAGTTTAAGTAAAATTGACAAATGCTTAGCCAATCTTATCAAAAAAGGAAACAAACCACTCAAATACATGCTATTAGGAATAAAAAGAATGAAATCACAATGAATCTTACATAGATCTGGAAGATCAATAATACTCATTTAGAGAACATGCACTCAAACAAGATGGAAAACACAGAAGAAATGGATGGATTCCTGGATGTACATGAATTACCAAACCTGAATCAAGAAGATATATCAATTTTAAGTGACCCAATGTCAGTCAAAAAATTGAAGAAACTATTAAAAACTTTACCAACAGATAAATCCCTGGTTCTCAGGATTCACTGGTAAATTCACAACAAGAAACTTGGAGATCTAATGGAACTGCTCCTCGACTCTAATGAAATTGAAAAGGAAGAAATACTCCCAAACCCAATCCTGAAAGCAAGTGTTACTCTGATACCAAAATTACAAAATGATCTAACCAAGAATAAAGAGAACAACAGATCAATCTCCCTAAAGAACACAGATGCAAAAATTCTCAATACAATACCAGTAAACCAAATGCAGAAAATCGTCAACAGGACTATAAACCATGTAAGTATTATTCAGCTCACTGATTCAGGAATAGTTCAACATATGCAAATTAATAAACATAGTATAGCATATTAAGAGAACCATGAACAAACACCATATGGTCACCTCAATAGGTACAGAAAAAGCATTTGACAAAGTCCAATATCCATTCATAATTTTTAAAAGTCGAGAAAATTGGCATAGACTGTTTTTACCCCAATCTGATAAAAGCCATCTATGACAAACCAATAGCCAGCCATACTAAATGGTCCAAAGTGAAAGTTTTCACTCTAAAATCAGGGACAAGACAAGGATGTCCAGCATTACCAGTCTTATTTAGTATCTGGAAACATTAGCTAGAACAATTAGATAAGAGAAAGATATAAAAGGAATAAGGATAGGAAAGGCAGAAGCTAAATTATCATTAGTTGTAGATGACATGACAGTCTACATAGAAGATCCCTAAAATGAAACCAAAACAGTTCTAGATTTAATAATCAAATTCAGTTCATACCTGGATACAAAGCTAATTCTCAAATATTAAGATCACTTCTGTAACACCAATAAAAAAAACTCACTGAGACAGAAATTAGGGAAACCACACCTTTTACAATATCATCCCAAAACAGTGAAATACTTTGGTATCAATCTAAAGAATGAGGTAAAAGACCTTTACACTGAAAACTAAAGTATTGTAAAAAAGGAGATTGAGTGAACATCAGAAAATGGAAAGATAACCACAAATCTCTCCATCAGGAAAGAAAGGCAAAGGATTGAATTAATTGGGGATCAGACCCAGAGCCTGGAATGTACTAGGAAGTGTTCTACCCACTACCCACTGAGACCCACCTCCAGCCCCTCAGTAGACATTTTTCAAGGAAAACATACTGACACTCAGCAGGTATGTGAAAAACCTCCAGCACCAGTCTTCATTGAGGAGAACAAAAAGGTGGAGAAAAAAAGGAAAACTGAACTGGAGAATGCAAACGAGCAGCCTGTATGGTTGCAAAATCCCTGTGGGGTTTGGAAGAGCCTGAAATGGGCCAATCTGCAACTGGGGCTGGGGCCAGGTGCCTGGCAGCCCCCAGCTGACTTGGACCCACTCTGGGTGACTGCAGCTGGCTGGGAAGCATAGAGACCATACATGTCCCCACTGCTTTGCTCATGGTGGGACATACTACGGAACTGACCCCAGAGCCCTGAGAAACCTTCCCAGACTCCCCACCTTCAATTCATTTTTCCCATCCTTCAACTCCCTGCCTCTCCCCAACAACCTACATCAAAAAGGATTTGAGTACTTGACACATGAAAACCTAAGTGAGAGAGAAGAGACAAGGAAGAGATGAGGGTCCACTTAGGAGAGAAAGAAAGAAAAATGTAAGCCAATGAGCGTCATCTTGGCCTGAGTTCACAGAGCTCAGAGAGAGACAGAAGCCATGTCCACAGAGCCCGAGCTCCTCACTGAGTTTGCCAAAACTCTCAGTGGGGTTCTGGGTCACTGTGGATTCCTTCTAAAGCTTCTTCCTAGGTTGTTGTTGTCCTGAGGAATTTTACAAGTGAAACAAAAATGTAGGAAAATAAATCTGGAGAGTGAGTGGACCACTGTAAAAGTGCACGGTAGTCACAAGGTTACTGCTGGCTGTCTTGTGTCCTCCATTCTGACATCAGATCTGAGCCATCACGTCAAAGCCCTGCTTGATTTCATGTCAGGAATTTTGAAGATAGTCTTCTCCAAGTGGTCCCAGATGCTGGGCTTAGAATGAGTTTCTGTACATGTGTCCTGAATTTCCATGACTGACATGTCACAGCACTTGCCCAGCCCGCAGGCCATGCCTTAATATTCTGCCTCTTCAGTGACCTTCAGTGCCACCCCTAGTACAGCAACAGTGGCAGGCATAGCTGGATTCACCTTTCTAGAATGAAGCCAGCCTTGCCAAACAACTTGAAGTAAGAGATGACTCAGGAGAGTGAAGCTTCTCCTGTGACCTTCTCGAGGGTCTGAGGCTCCATTTTGACAAGCAAGACTCCAGTAGCACTCTGGGAACAGATAAGCAGAGTCACTGATGACCCTTTGTCCTGGGCAGCTTCCATGGACACCAGCCTTGGGACTCTTGTTTGCAGTGGGATCCAGAGTGTGGGCTTCGTGCCAGAGCTACAGCTCACAGGCTCCTGGTAGATCATCTAAGGTCTCTTCTGTGTGCTTTCCTCCCCACAGAGAGCTTGGGGACAAAACTAATTAGCAAGCTTCTCCCAAATAATCACATGGGGGCAAATAACCTAACTGCTGGGCTGTCACAGTCCACCTGCTAAGAAAACACAAAATATTCTGACCTACTCCCCAGACACCTTGATCCTCCTTCACCTCACAAATACTACTCAAAACTCCAGTCCTCTCATTGTGACACGACATTCGGAGACAAATGTCTGTCGAGGATTCCAGTGGAGCTCACAACAAAATAGTTCTAACTCCTGGAATCTCTCTTTGTTCTGTAAGCAGCCTCTAGTTCTTGTGAAAATCTGATGACCCATGCAGCATCTCTTCCCATGTGGAAAGAGTTGGTTTGTTTCATGAATCCCACCATCGTCCCTTTCTAGCTACTCCTTTCCTTAATGCCCATTTATCTTCCTGTGGTGGGTGGGTGAGTTTTAATGGTTTCTCAGGAATGGGAATTCAGTTATGATCTTCAGGAATGTAACACTCCCCTTTGCCTCATCAGGATTTTTGATTTGTCAGGGAGACTTTAAGGATGTCCCTTTGGTACCCCTTGCAGTGAATAACAAAAAGCTGCCTGAGAAGGTGAGCTCTGTACAGGAGTTGTAGAATTTCTTATGCATGTTTTATAAGTGGTCATTCATTAGGTAGAAGTCTCTTTCATTCTAGGTCTCTGCATGAGTGTGAAGCACCAGAAAACCTATTTGAAATCTGTGTAAATATTTAGCCCTGTGTCTTTGGCTGATATTGATACTCAAGGTAGGGCTCCCACCTCTGCCTTTTGAATGAAGTCTGACAGTGCAGGGGTTTGGCTCCAATGACCTGTGTGGGTTGACACCTACATATACGCATTCCAGATCCTTCCTGGACAGAGTCCCTTCCTCCTCTGAGCCAGTTCTCCTCCAGGTCCTGAAGGTACAGCTCGTGATGTCTGTCTATCCATATTCTTTTGGGGACTCACCTGTTCACAGAGCAGCTAACTTTCAGCTCTGCAGGGATTTGTGCTTCAGGATTGAGAGTAATGCAGGCTTCTGTATTAACCTCCAGGCTGTCCAGAAGGATGGCCAGATATTTGGTAAACTGTTCCTGTGTCAACTGTAAATGACCTTTGGTCTCAGGAATAGCCCTAACCTGGGCCGGGGATTTAGCTCAACAGTGTAAGTGCCTTTCTGGAAATCACAAGGTCATGAATTTGATCCTTGCACTGAGAAAAAAAATAATAGCCTTGATCTAATTGGGAGTCAAGATGTCTAGTTTTTGTCTCAATGTTTCTGTTAGCATAGCAGAAGCTGCTATTTTCGCCAGGTAGGGTAACCCTCCAGCAATCACTTCATCCAACTTTTGTGAAAATTATTACCCTGTTCCAGCTTTTAGGTTAAGTCTTCCAGAGAAATTCCTCTCTTCTTATGTAGAAGAAGAAAGATTCTATTAAGTCAGGTATTTCTAGTGCTGGAACCTGAGTGGACACATGCTTTATTTCTTTAAAAGCATTGTCAGTCACTTTTGTCCAAGCTAAGGCTTCAGATTCAGAACCTGGACAGCCTTACACAAAGGCTTTGCATTAGTTCAAAATTAGGTATCCACATTTGGCAGAAGCTGACTGTTCCCCCAAATAGTGAAGCTGCACTTGGTGACAGGAGATCTGAGACCACAGAGGTCCTGTACCCAGACCCTAACAAGTCTCCTTCCCTAGCTGCAATCAAGTACCCCAAGTGTTGAGTTCTTAACAGAGATCTGAGCCTTTTCTTTTGAGACTTTAGTTCCCTTTTTAGCTACAAAATTGAATTTTGATCATGCTATTGGAGAACAGCTCCCAATTTGGTCTGGAGATTAGATTTTCCTACACACTGTAGAAGAATCCCCTGTGTGAGGTTTCCCAGTGCCAGAGAGAAATGCTGGGGATTTTCATACACACAGTTAAAGTGCTCCTCCTACAGCAGGCGTGAAGATCTCTATTTCAATGCACTTTGCCCTCTTTTCTTGAATAATCAAATATGCACATATACATATATAAACACACACACACCCCTGTGTATTTGTACATGTGTGCACAATCTTTGTGGGGAGAATCTGATGTTTTGCCGTGTGTCCATGTCTCTGACCCACCCCGACACCGGAGAAGCCACAGAAATCTGATTTTCCAGGAAAGGCTTCCTATTTTTTTAAAAGAGACTACATACACACAAGCCTTTCTTCTCAGTTTGTTTTCTGTTATGAAGTGGGGCACACAGTGAAGACGGCACACGCTCACCCCCTCCCTGTCATCGGGATAATTACCTGAGCGAGGGGGTGCGACATCTCTGTGTGGAAATAGCACCTGTGCCCCTTTGTGCGTGAACAGGTGTACGCAGGTGTGTGCAGGGGCAGCTCTGCACCCAGTCCCTGTTCCTCACACGCCACCTCCTTCACCAAACCCACAGCCACAGCCACACCAATCCCAGCATCACAGAGGAGTTCAGGGCTGCAAAGAGCAGCGGTGCAGATGCCAGGGTCTGATTGTACAATCACCTCACTGCGCGTGCATCGAGTCCTCATGATGACCCCTGAACCCAGCCTGAGCTAGAGAAGGGCTGAGCTCTCAGCTGTGTGAGCAGTGGGCTGGGTCAGCAGGGGGCTGGGGACCTTTGGGGTCCTCTCACAGATCTTCAGAGGGATATTTTGGGGGAGAGTAGTTCCCAGGAGACAGCCAGGGTCCGTAGCTCAGTCCCTGGAGATAGTCAAACATCTTAGCTGAGTCTTTGAGAACAGCCAGGCATCCCTGGAAGCAGCTGCAGCACTCTCTGTCCCAGGACTGGTCACTGTAACAGGGATCCCAGATGTCCATCTCCTTGCTGCAGGCAGATCCCTCCAGACTCTAGCTCCTGCTCCAGGAGAGCTGACCACCTGGCTTTGCAGACTAGAGTGCTCCTGAGAGAAGCTGTCCATGGTGCTGCAGGCTTCCTGGGGTGACTTTGAAAGGCCTTAGGTGCAGGACCCAGGTGGGCTGAGTCCCTATCTGGTGATGACGGCATACATGCAGGGCTCTGCCATGGCCTGTGGAGACACTTCTCTGTTCCCCCTCTGTGTGAGGGTTCGGTGGTCTAGCTGAGCATAGGTCACCTCCTGTGGGCCCTGCAGCAGGGTCTGCAGAGAGAAGCCGAGGGGAGGGTGGATCCAGGAGAGGGAGAACTGAGGACCCCCATCCAGGAATCCTTTCAGCATGCCACCCCTTTCCATGGGGCATCAAGGTTGGTCTTTGTGACCATCAGAATGTGGAGATGAGAGCATGTCCCTTCCTGGACAGGCCTCCAGCTAGGATGCACCCCCCAGCCCTGGTCACCTGCTGGGGAACATAGCCCTGGCCCACTCTTTCTCTCCAGCCCAGACAGACCAGAAGACACACCACCCGCTCAGTTGCCCCTGAGTCCCTGACCCAGGCCAGCTTCCAGCCCTGCCAACCATGTTCTTTAGTACGCAGTATCCATAACCCATTCAGAGACTTACGGAGGCGCCCTGCTGAGGAGGTCGGTCAGCTGTGGCCTGGACTGGGAGAGGACACATGGTCAGGTCTCAGGTGGACATCAGAGGGCAAAGAGCACCAGGCCCCTACACTCCACCCAAAACCTCCTCGAGTGCTGCCAGCATTCCCTTCTCCCTCTGCCTGCTGACCCACTGAGTGGCCTTGCCTGCTCTAGGTTTTCCCTCCCCTGGCCCTGTACCTGCTGTCCTCCCTGGGATGTCCCCAGCCAGGCTGGCCCTGAAGGAGGAGAGCAACCAGATTAGGCCAGCATATGGCAGAGGGTCAGGCAGGGCGGGGTTATGCAGGGGCCTCACCTCTCCTGAGGCCTCTGTTCCTGGTCCTTGCAGCTGGGCGGCCCTGAGGACAGTTAGGGGTCTGAGCTTAGGAGAGGCCTTGCTCTTTGCACCCCAATAGCCTGCCCTGGACCACTGCTCTTTAGCCCTGACACTTACTGTATTTATTCTGATGCTGGTGATGGAGGCAGCAAAGGAGGAGCAGAAGCAGCAGGGCCAGGAAGCCCATGCAGACCCCAACAAGAACATAGAGGTGCCCTGGGGAGGCTGGAGAGGATGGAGCCAGGTTTCCAGCAGATGCACCCACAGAGCATGCACTGAACACACTCATGCTGGGCACTCCTCACTGACTCAGTTCTGCAGGAAACCCCAACACCCCCAGCAGCCTTGCAGCAGGGGGACATCACCCCCTCTGGGCACCCAGCCCTGCTAACTCCGCTGTGCACAGGGGTTCAGCAGCCACCAGCAGAGTGGGAGCTTCCCCCTCCCAGAGGCACAAGCAGGCTGGGGACCTGGTATCACCCTTACTCACCGAAGGGACCTCTGTCCACCAGCACCTCTGTGGCTCCTGGGGAGGTGGAGTCTGGAGAGAAGTCAGAGGCCGCAGATGGACAGGACAGGCATTGTGACCTCCCAGCCCAGCTGCCCTTCCGGACCTTTAGCACCCTCTGCTCCAGCACAGCTGGTCTGGAGTGTTCTGCTGGGGAATCACCCTGCAGCTGTGCAGCCCTAAGTAGGAAGCACTATGGTTATGGCCTCTGATGCACCCATAGTGAAGTGAAGGAGAAGTCAGATTCTCAGCCACTCTGCCCCATTCCAAGGCCTTAGAGACCACATGTAGCTGTGATAGGAACTCTGACCCTGTGGACACAATGCTTCCTGCACATAGGAAGCTGAGCTGGACATCACTGTCCATACTTTACACACGCTTGCAGAGACAGCAACCGGAAAGAAGAAGGAGAGGATCTGGGTCCAGACTCAAGTGCCAGACCCCATCTCTCATTTCATCAGTTCTCACAGCAGCCCCAGGCATGAGTCCCTGCAGCTCTTGGCCAGCGCTCTTCTCTGCAGTCCCTTCCTCATGGGGCCCTTGTCATTGTTAGGCACAGCCTTTGACAGTGTCCCCTTCTCTCTCACAGTGCCTGAGTGTGGCCAGTTCTTCCTAGTGGACAGCAGGGCCCAGGGCACGATGGTGACACAGAGCTGGGCAAACCTGGATTTGGGATGTGGTGACCATAGCAGTCCTATCAAGGCCCCTTCACAGCCTGTGCCTTTCAGTAACAATTATCCACATTTCAGAGGCAACATGAAGTATTAGAGACCAGAAGGCTGCATCCCTCTGGGGTAGCTGTTGTTAAATGTGTTGGCAGTGCCTGATGTGCAGCTCTGAATTCCATCGCTGTCCTACTGCCTGGGGAGGCCAAACCCCTGCTATGGTCTCCTGGCACTGAGCCCTGACCCCGTACTGCAACACAGAGCCACCAGTGAACCCCCAGGACTGAGGACTCTTAGTGACCTCTGCAGGACCCAGGGCTGTTTGCAGGGGACTGAAGTCTCCAAGGGCAACAGCAGGATTCAGAGACTGAGGGGCAGCTGCTTAGAGCCTGTCCCCAGCCTGGCCCTGCCTTGCCCTGCCCTGAGCATCACCTAGAGAGCACATCTGGTCACTGTTCAAGCCCAGACAGTGTCCCAGGTCTCCTGAAAGAACAGAGCAGGGAAGCAGGAGAGGCAGCAAGGCCCTGTGCTAATCCACCCTGGTGGGTGTGGCCACTGCCCCCAGCTCCGCCCACCACTTTGCTCTGCTGACCCCACAGATGCTCTGTAAACAGCAACTCTGCAGCCCAGGCAGGACACAGAGGTGGATTGGAATCTCCTCACTAGATCCTGACTCTAGGAAGTCTCTGTTGCTGACCACAAAAGAGCATGGACTATCCCATCACAGAGCTTCTACCAAATCACCATCCCAACTTGATCAAGAGCACCTTTGGACCAGGACACCTGTATAGTGTCTGAGAGGGACCAAACCAGAGAGGACATATTCCTGGGGGCACCTGAGGTTCCATCTCCCTGGAAAGATATGGAACACACAATCCCCAGGGGAAAGACAGTCCATTGTAGGGGGTCACTCTGCCAAATCTGGGGACCACTCCCTATCCAGCCAGCAAGGCCAGCTCCATGCCCACTCTGTGCTGGTATCGAATGGAAGCAGCAATTCAGGAAGCTTAGGGCTGGGAGGCCGAGGGTACAGGTGAGCTGAGAAGGAGAGAGGCTTGGAGTTAAGAGGAGAGGATGGGAGACAGAAGATGGCAACTGGGATATGGTCCAGATAAATGGGGACAAACCTGAGGCCACAGCTGAGGCTGTGGGGATGGAGGCCTGGGTGACATCTGCATCAGCCACTGTCAGGTTCAGTTTCTCACTGCGTGGAGACCAGGTGGACGATTTCTGATAGATGCAGACATAACACCCAGGATTCATCAAGGTGAAGGCAAATCTGGCCTCCTTCTGGAAAGATGAAGTGTTCTTCTCATCCTTAAATGTGGGACCATTCCCAGGGGAACACTTCTCCAGGCGAAACAGCTCAAAGCCCCCATTGGCCTGGCACAGGATGGTCACATTCCTGCCCCGGGATATCACAGAGCCTGGCTCAGCAGAGATGGAGGGTTGGGACAGGGACCCTAGAAGGAAGCAGAGCAGGGCCTCAGTATCCTCTAGTAGAAATCACCACATGCAAAGCTGATTTCAGGGGCACCGTTCAGTGTTCTGGGAAAACTCAGAGCTGGGCAGCCTTGATCCAATGTGAGCTCACATCACATCCATGCCTCTCCCAGCATGGTCTGTGTGCACCCAAATTCCTATCCCTGCCCGCCCTGACTGTAGGGACCCCTGCCCGGCACATCTGGGCCTGGCTTGGGTCTCCCAGGACCCTCAGAGGGAGCATCTGGGGTCCTGGGGTTCCACTGGGAGCCACTCCCCTCCTGCCCATGGCATGGCCCACAGCCTGTTGAGCAACATCTTGGGTTTTCCTCCAGGTTTCCTAGGCTTCTCGAAGCCTCATTTCCATTTCCTGGAAAGGTGTCTCCGGATGAGATAGGTGGGAATTGAAAGTCCCCACCTGTCTCATCTGGAGAGGAACTAGGGAAAGTGGGCTTGAAGTTCCCTCCAGGAAAGCTCTCTAAGAGCCAGGAGCTGGCAGAGGGTCAGGTTACCCTTTCACTCCTCAGTCACTGTCATATCTACAGGTAAAGGTGATGGGGCTTGCTAACTGCTCCTGTTTGTTACACCCAACACACAAACATGTGCATTTAACATGCGCCAGCTAAATATTACCATGCCACACACACCTGCAGTGCACAGCACGGTGTTTTGATGTAAGTGTACATTGTGGAATGGTAAATGAAGCTCATGAGCACACGGATTCCCCACATCCTTCTCCTGCTGTGTCGGGGGAGCACTCAGTGTTTGCTCTTATGATTCTCAAACACACCATAGGTAACTGTTAACCATGTTGTTTAAATGGTCTGAGCTTGTTCTAACTGAAAACTTCCATCCTTTATCCAGTCAAGGTGTCTGGGAACCACTGCCCTGGGCAGAGTGGGGACAGGAAGTGGCTGGGAGAAGCCCCTTGCCCCTCCTTCCTGCACCCTTTCATCCACAGGGTCATTGCTCTTTGCCCCTGGGGTCTCCTGATGGTGCTGATGGTTCCACAAGTGCAGGAAGCAGGGACACAGTCCCTGCCCTTGGCGATGAGAGTGCCAGAGCCAGACACTAAAGCAGTAACTCTTCCCACCCAAAGCTGCACCAAGACTTGAGTGTTCCTTGGGAGTGTCAGGGTGGATAAATTGTGTCAATTTGAGTTTAGAAGTTTAACTAAGAGACTTGGCAGGAAGCCATAATCCTTACTTTTTAAATATCCTCAGCCAGTGGGAGAGGAAGGCACAGAGGTAGTGTGAGTCCTACACCTGCTTTGGAGGTTGGAGGTGGCCTGCATGCAATATAAGGGAGGACAAGAGGCTTGCTTTTCCCCTCTTTTGCTCTGGCTGCTGCCTTAAACTGCTGCCCCTGTTCCTCACCACCCTGCCTGGGAGCCAGCTGGTTATGGTTATAGTTCACACACTGTGAACTAGCTAAATAAACCTTCCTTCCTTCATTTTGGGTGCCAGCAATTGAGAGAAAAGTAACCGAGACAGGGAGGGCAGGGATCTGGCACAGGAGAGAGGACATGCTGCCTGCCTTGGGGTGCTGGGGAAGGGCTGAGCTGAGCCCAAAGACAGGTGTGAGTTTCCTGTGCTGAGAACCCAGGGACATGGCACAGCAAAATGGGAATGGCCACCTGCAAGTACTGGCCAGAGGACACACAGCTCCATCTGGACAGGGGGAGAAAGCTTGGGAGATCCAGTGTGGGACACAGTGGCTACAGTTAGAACAGTGGGTGGTCCTATCTGTAAATCACCCAAAGGCATTTAAAATGCTGTTACCATGAAGAAAAGTCTGTGTGAGACACTGCATAAACTAATTAGCTTGGTTAAACTGGCGTGCAATGCCTACTTGCTTCACAATGTCATACTGTACGTGGTGAACAGGTACAGCTTTATTGGCCAATTTCAAACTCAGCCTGTGAGCTGAGCAGGAACTTCTGCCTCGGAAGATGAAAAGTTGAGATATTTAGGGACACCCATAGAGGAAGTGGCTGGGAGACAGCTCTGCCCAGAGCAGGGAGTTGTGTGGTTCTGATTGTCTGAAAATAAACTGTGGAAAGCCTCTGGGGAGGAAGAGCATTTTGTGTAACACAGTGTAAACACAAATCCTTTGAATATAACTATAAGAATCATGAAAACTAAAGTGATTGTATTTCTAAATCGATGTTTCAGACTGAAATCTCCCTGGTTTCAGAAGGACCTGGGCAGTAGCAGGTGTGGATAACTAGAGAGGAGCCAGAGGAGTCACCCTTGAGTTGACAAGCAGTTTGCCAGGAGAAGCTCAGGGCCAGAGGAAGATGGAGCAGTGGAGCCAAGCTCAGTTGGGGCCATTCTGCTCCCCACTCAGGAGAACTGACAGAGAAGTCTGGTCTCAGCATGCTCCCATTGGGGCTGAGTCTCCTCTGTGGACATCAGTGTCACTGGACACCTGAGCCCATAGTCACTGCTGCACCAGTAAGCTGACCTGAGAGACAGACCAACCAAAGGTCCATGTGAGGATGAGTGGACCAAGACAGTGTGGTGCAGGTGGACAACAGCACTACTTGTCCTTCAGAGAAGGCCTCTGTACTCGTGTATACTGGGTGGACATGCAGGGCATCCTGCCTAGTGCACTGAGCCAGCGTGGGGCAAGCATGACACGATCTCACTGCCTCCTGTTGAATCAGAGCCAAGTGTAGATCTGTGGTTCCCAGAGGCCAGGGGAGGCCAGTGGATGGGAGAGGGTAAAGCTGATGGAGAGGTTCAAACTTGCAGTCAGACCTGGGAAGGAACCCTAGAGGTCCACTGCAGGGAGGGCTAACAGTTCATGGTGACATAGTGCTTCTTTGAAATGGCTAAGGGGGTAGGAAATAAACATCCTCACCACACAAGACAGGCATATGGGGACTAAGGTGTTAATGAGCCTAATCTAATTCTCCCATAACATGAACATTATATAGAACATAGATATAGACAATTATTATTTCTCTTTTTAAAACAAGAAAATAACAGAAAACAGTAGTGAGCTGGGCATGGCAGTGGCAAAGCCTATAATCCCAGCACTCAGGAGGCTGCGGCCAGCCTTGGCTACATAGTGAGTTAAGGTTAAGGTTAGCCTCAACTATGTACTGGGATCCTGCCTCAAAAAAAAAAAAAAAAAAATATATATATATATATATATATATATATACATATACATATATGTATATGTATATATATGTATATGTATATATATATATATACATATACATATATATGTGTACATGTATATATTAGAGCCACAAGTTACACATTTTGGGTGTCATGACTGGGGACCATGTAGGATCCACCCCAGCCCCCAGGAGCCAGCTCCCTTCTGTCAAGCAGGGTTCATGTAACTCACCTTGCCGGGTGAGGATCCCGTGGACCAGGCAGAGCACTGGAAGAGAAGCCCAGTTAGAAAATGCCCACTGCCCAGGGTCCTGATGGGCTTTGCAGAGCCCAGGACTCAGCCTCACACAGCCTCCAACAAACCAGCCCATTTCACAGGGACTTCAAGCCCTAACCCTACTTGCTCTGGAAAACCCCTACACTCCCCAGAGCTCCCCAGCACTTCCTGAAACGGGCCTAGCTGCACACCCAGAGCCCTGTTCTAGGAGCAAGTTTTCTGCTCCCCCTGAGGCTGGTGGGAGCCTGAGGTCTCCTGCAGGACCCCACAACCTCTGGCTGGGGTCAGGCTAAGCAGGGCACAGGAGCCCTCACCCCGGTCACTTCCCCAGTCCCTTCAGTCTTCCCCATTGTCCCAGACTCACCGAGGGCCAGGAGGCAGGTGGGCCGAGGGGCCATGGCCTGTAGCTGAGAGCCCTGGGCAGACAGGGCCTGAACGTGGTGACAAGGATCCAAATGCTTCCCCCCTCAACAGCCTCCTTAAGCCCGAAAATGTGGCATCTCCTCTATTTTCTCTCTCTCTCCCTGGGGGCACAGAGCCTTCAGGGGCTCTCTTCCTCCCTTGGGCAGAGAGCTCTGAGTAAATCTGCAGGACAGAACAGATGGTGACTGCCCAGGAGGGACTCCAAGTTCACTGAGGAGTGGCCTCGGGCAGGGCGTTGTGACACAGAAACCCCACAGTTCCTCATACTTAAAGTGGGAACCACAGAGTGCTCCTGTGAGGGTGAGAACTGTGGTCTTTTTTAAAGTCCCAGCGAGATTGGTAAAGACACTCAAAGCTCCTCCTATAGGTAACATTAGAAGGCTCTGGGGTTAATCATCCTCATACACACACTGTCTCCTCCTAACCCAGGCTTCTCCCATCTCTCACTGCGGGGAGTGGGGGACTGGGTCCCTCCCCCACCACAGCTGGAAATGCAAAGGGTGCCACTGGCATAGGGAAGGGAGACACCTCAGAAAATTAAAACTACAGCTAACAGAAGGTCCAGCGATCCCCCTTCTGAGTGTGAATCTAAAGGAAGCCAGGTAAGTGTGGGGAAGACAGCACTGCACACCATGGTCACGGGAACAAATGTGACTCTCAGAGCAAACCTGGCTCAGTCCACGTGCAAGGCAAGAAGGATGGAGCTTCCTGGGGCCTGGAGCAGGGCACGCAGGGAGAGAGTAACCAGCAGCTGCTCATTTTCAGACAAGTATGAGGCACAGGCTCTGGAGAGGCGCAGTGTGACCTGCACTGTGTGCTTGGCACGCATGCGGGAAGAGCTCTGGTGGTGGTGGTCCCTCCATGCATGCACCCCATTCCCGGATAACACAGGATCTCCTCGTGGAGCAGAAGGGGCAGGGTGGTACACAGCCCTAGGACACCCACCTTGAGACCCCCCGGGAGACATGGGAGCAGATGGGGCACCCCTGGTGCCAGAAGAAAGGCCAGGGCCAGGGTCTTTACACGTGAATGTGAGCGTGGGGCTGGGCACAGAGCATCAGCAGGGGCTCTGGAGTCTGCAGCTCCAAGTACAGGGAGAAGCATCTTCTCCCTGGCCATGATGAGGGGGGTCTAGGAGGAGGCCACTGCTCACCTGGTTCTGCTGAAGGGGCTGAGGCCCAAGACTGCAGGGACTGCAGAGGGGAAATGCAGGCAGAGGCAGCCTTAGCAATCCTGCCCTCAGGGACAGTTCCACATGACCCGGTGTGGACAATGGTACTGAGAGCGGAAGGTCCTGGGGTTTATAAGAGTCCCATTTCTTGCCTCATAACGGGGGTGGGGGGGGGTTGCGAAGTAGAACATTGCCCTCCTGTACTCCATCTCTTGCGGCAACTCTATCCTGAGGTGATATAAGAAGTGCCCCGGTCATTTCCCAACAATGACGCGGGACTCAACACAGCTGAAACACTCAGCAAACCAAAAAGAAGGCTCCTGAGTGGCTAAGTCATTCTGTCATTCCAGCACTACCTGGCACTGGAATTGCCTGTACACATTCGTGGGTGGGAGGGGAGCCAGCCCTGGGAGTGCTGACCTATGTCCCCAGCCCATTTTGTTTTGTAGTTTTGAGACAGGATCTTGCTAAATCTCTAAATTGCCCAGGCTCATGTCAAAATCAAGATCTTCCTGCCTCAGCCTTCCTGCTTCAGCAGACAGGATAGATAGTACCACAACACCAGCTCTAGCAGGTTTTTAAGTGTGTACTTAGTTGTGTGTCCATTCCCTTTTATTGATGAGGAGAGAAAACATGTGCCTCTGATATGCACAGCTGTCACACCTCCTCCCTGGGGAACAAGCAGAACCTTCCTGATCTGCATAAACCCCTTTACTTGGTGCTCTGTGACCTCCTATAAGGACAGAGCCTCTCTGGATTCTGGGAGTTGGAGCAAACATTGCATGCTCTGGTTCCCTCCACATCCTGCTCCTCTGTGTTAGCTCCCTTTGCTCCAGGAAATGCTCCTAGGATTTAGGATTGATCCACTCAGAGCACCAAGATGAGCCCATGTGGGAATGGTCACCATGTGTTTATCCATGCGAGTGTTAGCAGGCATTTGTTTAGTTTCTACACCAGCATAAACCACACTGAGGTGAGTATTTGAATGCCTGTCAGTTGGTACAGATACGCTCGTCCCTCCAGAGCCTCAGGATGGGTTCCAGGACCCCCGAGATAACAAAATCCAGCCTTCCCTAAAATAGCACAGTATTTGGGAAACATGTCCACACATCTGTTGTGACCCATGCAGTTGAGATCACCTTCACATGATCTTGCTCCTTTGAATATCCTCTTTATTCTGAGAAATGTCTCAAGATTTTCTCGCTTCCCCATTGTCTTGGGTTTTTTTTTTTTTTTTTTTTTTAGAAAAATAGGCTCTATTTTCAGTTAAATAGGAGAAATTCTTTTCTCTTGCTATGCATGTGAGCTCTTTGTAAGACATGTGCACTGTGAATATTACTCCCATTCTGGTAGGATTCACTTTTCCCATTCACTTTTCCTGGTGTGTCTTGAAGGATAGGATTTCCGAGTGATTTTGTAGTCCAACTTGTCTCAATTTCTATTTTCTAGTTTGTGCTTTGTGCCTGTGTCCTAAACGCTCAGCTGCTACAAAGTACAAAGCTTTTTTTTTCCAAAGGGAGGCATGTCCTTCTAAGATTGTGGATGTCCACTCCATGGGACCCCATAGGACAGGGACAGGGGTTCTCTGCACTGGCCAAGAAGGCAGGGTCCTGGGGCTGCACCTGCATCTGCGGGGGTAACACTATGGTCCCAGCATTCACGTTGCTCCACCTTGAAGCTCACACTAACCTAACCCCCTAAATCAGTGGGCTCTTTGTGTTTTCTTCACAGCACAAAACACAACATGAGTTACATAATTTTATTTTTTTATTTTTATAAGCACGTTTGTAGTCTGTTTCTATTTCCTTGTATGGAATTTGTGCAAATGCATCCGAATCTTCATGCCTTTCCCCACTCCTAGCCGTGCCTTCCCTTCCTCTCCACCTGTTTGATCCCCTTTCCACCTGAGAAAGAACTGTCTCCCTCCTGGCTCGTAACTTTTGTTTTCCTTTCCAGAATGTCTGTATTGGGATAAGCCTACATGTAGCCCTTTCACTAAGTAATATGCCTTTAAGTGTCCTTCAAATCTTTCCATGACTTCATAGCATATTCTTGAAGGCCATGGAATAGTACTCCATTGACCAGCTGCACTAATTTACCTGCACGCCTACTATTGGGCAACTTGGTTTGAATCTGGGTGTTGTAGTCAGGGGTTGTACACAGAGAACAACTAGGATCAGGACATGGAGTTTATAATATTTTTATAATAGTCACCAGAAGTTAACACAGGAAAATGCAGGCAATCTATCCGCAACACCAAAGTCATAGATTATTTAGTCAAGAGCCTAAACCCCACAGCAATGTCCCACATGAATCCAGATAAAAACCCAGAGCACAGGACAGTCCCTCCCACAAGTCCAACTGGAGGTCCAGAGCCCACAAGAAGGACTCACACCAGTCTCTTTTATGGATTCGTGCCGGGAGGACCCAAGGGTCAGCGGTGGAAGCCAGAAAGTCTATGCCAGCAGGATGAAGGAGCTGTGCTAGTGGGATGAGGGCTCTACGCTGGAGCCAAGAAGTCACACAATAAAGAGCGGGCTGTCCTGAAAGGCACCACAGCTGTCCTCAGCGACATGGAGGCCCTGAGCTCCTCCAACGACAAGCACAGTCGGGCACGTGCCAGGAAGCAGCACGACGAGTTCATCCTGGAGACCAAGCAGCACATGTCTTCCCCTCTGGAGCCAGGAAGCAATGCTCAATGTAAGGATCAAAGCTTCTCCAGGAGAACCAACAGCTCAGACAGCAACTCATAGGAGAACCCACAATGCCTCCTTAACGCCTCAACCCTCAACCCTCCCTTCTTCTCCACCTATTTATCCTGGCAACTTTTCTCAGGTGGAGCATCTTCACTCACTGCCTGCCCTGCTGATGTAATCCAGCTGGCATTAAGTTGACCACCAGTTCTTAATCCATATTACTGGGTTTTCAAATTGTAACATAAAGCTGCTGTAAGCATCCATATGCGGTTTCAAGGTGGACAAAGGTTTTCAGCGCCTATGGTAATATACCCACAAGTGCCATCACTGAATCGTGTGGAGAGAGTTTACTTGACAAGAACCTGCCCCTACTGAGCTCCAGAGGGGCCATGACCACTCTTCCCACCCTCAGTGAGTCAGCTCCCTGGGCATGTGGCGTGGTCAGGGATCTGGATCCGAGCTTTCCTGACAAATGTGCAGCCCTTACAGGGTGCGGAGGGTTTGAAAGAGGTGAGGAGCATCAGTAGCTCCTCCACTGGTTCTGTCTCCCCCACCCTTGAGCCTGGACAAGTCACTTCCCCTAAAACTTTCATAAGTGTGAATTTGTGAATCCTTTTCCTTGTAAGCCAATCAGCCCACTTGTTACAGGTCAGTGTCTGAAACACAGGAGTGAACAGAATGATGCAGGTGCAGGAGATCCCAGTTGAAGACAGGAGATAGAATCAAACAGCTAAGCACAGTCTCCATTGTTATGAAAGAATCAGGGTTGACAAGTAAGTAAAACCTGAAATACCAGTGGTTTCTCACAAAGAAATTCTGCTTCCTGCTCATGCGAATAGCACTGTGGATTTTTCCAGACAGAATCCTAATCTCCGCTGTAGGAGTGGCAAACATGCTGTCACCCATCCTGTGGTTTCTACCACCGCCTCGGGCCCACATCCACTTGTTAAAGCCTCCTCCTTGCCCGGGTCCCTTGTTCTGGACTTTGATGTGGGAAGGGCTCCCCGTGGCCCATTCACAGTCCCTATCCCTGATATTCAGAACTCGTCACCTTCAGGAAGCTCCAGCCACAGAGCGTCACAGAACTCTTCTGGTGGATAGCTATGGGAGACATTATCAGGAAAGGAAGAAGAATCTGGAACCCCATGGGTGACAAACACAGGGATTTAGACTCCAGAATCACTCTTACAGTGGCCCCATCAGCCTTCCCGCAGGTGCCTGCAGTGGACCTCCACTGCTTAGGGAGCACAAGGTGTGTGAGCCCCAGACCCAGTCCTGGAATGTCTCAGCCTCCCCAACCACTCGTGCCCCATAGCCCCACAGTGAGGAGCAGCTGGGCCTTTGGTCAGGGAGAGGGGCTCCCCCAGCATCCTGCTCCTGGCCACGGGTTCCCCCTCCTGCCAACTTGAACCTTTCTGTGGGGCATGGGCAGCTCAGATGGTCAGCACTATGCTACAGGGCCCAGCAGTAAATACAGAAGTGCAATGTCTCAGGTGGTGGTTGTGTTTTTCTCACCAAGTG